AAAAACAAATGTCAAGATATTAATAAATGTAAAAATCATTAAATGTTTTTATTTTTATGATGTCACTCCAACTCAAAGCGTCCTAACAAACAGAGGGGTCCACAGCTGTAGCAGGTTTGTGGCTCTGGACACGTTTCATTTAGTGAACGAAGGGGCAGAAATGACTCTTTTGACTGAGAAAGATACAGAGTCTGTTTTTCAACAAGAGCCAAGGCCATGTACCCAGGATATAATCTGGACTAGGCCCCTTCAAACACAGATATAATCCTGACTACGGCCTGTTACATCTGTAATCTGATCTATCATTAGGTGCATAATGCCAAACAGTTTTTTTAAATCAAATATACATTTATGTGTATCTTCATCAATCTTCCCTCTGTAATAAATCTGTTGTTTAATCCCTCAACCAGCTGGTTGCACAGATTAAAGATTACATCGATGAGCCCCAAAGCTAGGTTACATGTTTACATGTCGACTGTTCCAGTTTTGTTACGATCTGTCTTTGTGGCACAAACGGACGTCAGAAAACATACCAGCCGGAAACCAGAGTAACTGGAGATAAAGAAGAAAAACATTCAGGTTCCTTCATGAGAAGTCGTAAAATAATCCAGTGAAGTCATAAAATGAAGGTCAGTCATGGCATGTTTGGATTAGATTTACAGGAATATAGCTAATGTTGGTTTTAGGGGTGTTGGTCTCTGCATGTGCCAAGTTCCTGATCTGCTGACTGGAGGTACTGGTATAAAAGATCTGGTCTTTGACTGGTCCAACAAATCCACGGAGGAAACCTGAAGCTACGCTCTGAAGCTGAGCTGAAGACCAGAAGGTCACCACTGAAGAACAGAAGGTCACTCTGCTGTGAGTTTGGTACAAGTTCTGACAAAAATGTTCTTTTTGGTTCATTAAACTGAAAGTTCTGGATCTACTGACTGAAACTTCTCCACCCTGTTTGTGTTTATTGAAGGTTGTCTTTGATCTGCATCATCTCCATCATGAAGATCTGGACTTCTCTGCTGCTTCTTGGTGCCTTCATGGCTCTGAGTCAGGCTGCAGGTGAGCTGTGTGTTTCCACCTGGATGTTCTGACATGTTCAGCTCCAGACAGTTCATGAGACAGAACAAACTATTACTGACAGGGAGGTTGAATCTGATCACAGTTATTGATCTGATCACAGTTATTGATCTGATCACAGTTATTGATCTGATCACATTTAGACACATTTTATGACGCAGAAGGTTACATGCATTGATCACAGCAACAACATTTAAATGATGCTTTAACACTTTATGTTCTAACTCTATTTATTGTAAAAACAGCTTTTCCAGAAGCTCAGGTTGGACCAGCGATGAAGGAAACACTTCCAGAAGGTCAGTTTGTTTCTTCTCAACTCTAATTTACTTTGTCGACTTCAAATAAAACTTTCTGATCTTCTTCTGGAAACCAAAAACAAAATGTTTGTCTCTAATGAGTCTCTGACTGATGTTCTGGCTTCAGAGGACAAACCTGAGACTGAAGAAACAGGTCCACGAGGTGAGATTATAATCTGGAATAATGCTCTTATAAAACTGCATGAGCACAAGACGAGTAGTTAAAGTGCTGCTCATACATGATAAAAGAACAGAATGGAGATGAGCTTTCCTGTCCCTCAGAGGGACATCCAGGTGCACCAGCAGCAAAGTGACAGGTAAATCAGACACAGGTAGAAAATATAGAAACAGGAAATGACTGAGTCTGAACAGTGAGGACAAAATACTCCAGTTATTAAACATCAAGAGAAGTGAACTGAAACTGTAGCTAAAAGCTCAAACTATCTAAATGGTAAATGGACTGTACCTGTTTAGCTCCTTTCTGTCTTATCAAGACACTCAAAGCTCTTTACAACAATCGGTGCCTCATTGACCCATTCATACAGCTCTATACTAGACCTACACAAAGGTAAATGAACAAATCATTCTAAAGAGACTAATCAGAGCTTCATCACACTCAGACACTGATGGGACACACACCGGAGGCAAC